AATTTATTAAGGTATTTGCTTCTGTATTTCTTTAAAAGAATGGATATGTTAATATTAAGGAATTTCATTTCAGTATACCATTGTGTATAATATTGTGTAATCGCATATCATTTAGTATAATTATGTATCGAATTGTATGCTAAATATTCACTTAATGTTTAAAAATCTCAAATTTTTTACTTTTTGATTAATTTTATAACTTTAAACTTTTAACTTCATACGTATATATATAGCAGAAAATGAAAGTATTTAATTTAATATATTTTTGTGCTATAAGTTTTTGTAAAGAGACTGTGAAGGCAATAAATAATGCATGAAAATTTAAATATTATTAAACCTTATATCACTAAGAATCTTTTTCTCCTCGACTCCGAGTGGGAAATAAAGACACATATGCTTGATATTATCTGTTTCGTTAAAAAATAAATTGCATTACAAGAAATCTTACTTTTATTACTTTATAAAATTAATTTAATTAGATCTATTTTTACGTTTGCCGGACTTAGGTCTGTGAATTTAATATTTCCAGCATGTTTCTGAGAAATACGATGAAAAAACGGGGAAGAAAACAGAAGTTCCATTAAAACAAGTACGACTGAAAGGAAATGCTGTTCTCTCAACTTTCAGTGCTTGCCCCAAATATTTGTCTTCAACAAAATCATTTTGTAAAGAGCCCCTGAAGAGAGAAGAGAAAATAAGCAACTATTTTTATTTAATGTTAATTTGTATGAAAAGCCTACAATTTGAATGTAATAAAAATAAGCACATTTTGAGAATGTTATATTAAAATACTTGATAAAATGACAGCAGAAGGGGAAAAAATTATGAATTTCATTACGGGAGGAGGGAAGAATGGAGTGTTAAATGCAAGGGCTGTTCGATATCCTATTATGCCATAACACTTTTCCTGACTTAATTAGGCTCTACCACGTACACCCTGGTAATGAGGCTTGGAAACCTCGGCTAACACCTTGCTATTTACTAAAAATAAGAAAGAACTGTAATACAATTTGTGTATATAGAGTTAGTTTCTTTAATGGAAACTTTTGTACTATAAATCTGCCCTGCTAAAATTTAAAAGCTTCTAAAATCCTTAAAAATATTTCTATACGTCCTTCCAATATATTTTTTATGCAGTTAAGTGACTTGAGTATTATTGGTATAGGGGGAGATTCTAGCTTTTCATTATTGTTATTTATTAAAAGTCAACCATTACTTTAAATCATTTTTTTAACTGTAAACATACAATATAAGAACATAAAAAATTAATATTATATAATGTATTTTGTGCATATGAATATGTTTCCAATATTATATCCACAAATGGTGGTGTGGTATGTTGAGTTATGGCAAAGCACACGAGGGCTATCTGCCTGAGGGAAGGGATGCCTTCGCGGAGGACTTTCTAAGGGAAACTGGCTCGTATACACGTTACACATGGGGAAATCCACGAAAACGACCATGCAGCCAGCCCATTCGCAATATATCTGCAAATGAATTGAAAATATATATCTCTCTATATATATAAAGTAAAAAGAAAAAAAAAATAATATGTATCTACATGATTAGAAGAAACCATCCTTTTAGTAAAGCTTTAAAAACACATATACTTTTATGGCAGGTAGTGGGTGACCGACGGTGATTGTCAGCCACCAGTTTGTGACATCTCGATCTGGTGGTTGGGCTTCTGTTTAAGAAAGTGTTGTCAGTGTGCTCCCCAATTATGAACCCACAGAACATGTTTGGGACACTCTAGGGAGAAGGGTTGCTAGTCACTTATCATCCTCAGAAACAATTCAGCAGTTTGAAAGTTCTCTGAAAGAGAATACCCAAATCCCTCATTAACCCTTTTGAGACGGTGCATCTTTGTTTAAGACACTCGTGCCGGACAAAAGGGAATCGCTAAACCTAATTTTATATATATATATAAAAGTTTCACTTCTAGCATCGTAATTTTTTGTATCATTTTAGATTATTACTTGAGCTCTTATATTTGTAAATTAGCACTTAATAGCATTTTTTCTTTTATTTTACATAAAAATATATTAAAAAATTGATTATCTTGTAAAATAATTTTCGCAACCACTATTAAAATTATTCCAAAGTTTTAATTGATAAAATCTATCAATAAAGTTTAAAATTAATAAAACAACACCAAAACTGTTTACAGTAAGAAGTAACAAAATTTAAAATGAAGAATGAGTGTGATAAATCTCGAAGCATGTAAGTATCATAATTTAAAATGAAGACTGAATTAGAAAGTATCACTTTCTAACTCTTTAGAAAATGAATCATCACTCTCATCTGCGTTAGTAAATGGTTCATTAACCATAGAGGGGTATTTTCCTCTGATAATAGCTTTTTCCACCATAGTAGACTAGAGGTGAGGCTTTCCGAAATAAAAAGAGAAGAAACGGAAGTATATGTGATGGCAATGAAAAACATAACAGAACTCCACATAGTAACCCTAAAAAACTGTACATAGTAGAGGGAAAAATAGAATAAAAAAAGGAATTGGATATAAATCAAACACGTGAATGTTTACATTAGCACGCAGTGATTTAAAGAGCACACCTCTGTTTACGCTTTCACCCCCCCCCCCCCGCACCTTCGCAACAGTTGATGAGTAAAATACCAAAGTCAGGCAGAATATATCAAACTCAAGGTCAGGAACCTAAAACTATGTTCATTTCAAAAGTAATAAACATAGGATGCCATCTAATGGCCTAAAAAAAAAAAAAAAAAAAAAAAAAAAAAAAAAAAAAAAACACCATTCTAGCTTAAAATGCGTATACGCATCACCCGTACTCTGAATGCAGTCTCTAGTGATGTGTGGATGGGACGTCCGGCTGTAAGAGACATTGTCAGTGAATGCATATATGGGAACGCCCGCCCTGAAAGAGTTAATAACCATGCCTTGTAGGAATGCGACATTACTTTCGGTCAGGGAAAACCATACCCGTTATTGAAACTCATCTGAGATATACCATTTTTTTTTTACTGACATATATCAATAAAATTTAATTATTCTTTGTTCATTGCTTCTTTTTGTTTCTTGTATCTTACACCTATACAACATACACTGGTGTGCAAAAATTAAGGACAAAATCGAAAAATTAGCATATCAGCTGAACGAAGAGGCAGAGCGAACAGAAAGACAAATCAGGAGATTAAGTAAGGTGATGTACGGTAGCACATGTGCAGATATGCAGGTAGACGTAATGGGGGAGTGTCTGAGTAGTATAAAGCATGTTGTCGGTGTAAGATCAGTATTTATGGCAAAGAGATTCCACGCCGTATAGCAGTTAAAATCACACCAAGTTGCCGCCTCAGCGAGAAATGGCAAATAATCAATCTGTTAGACGACATCTGGATGCTTTTACCCAAGGTCGAATCATTGGGAAGTTGGAGGAAGGCCGCAGTGTGACAAGTGTGGCTGCAGAGTTCAGAATTGCTCACAGCATCATTTCACGACTTTGGAGACAATTTCAAACTACAGGAACAGCTATCAGGGGGTTTAGTAGTGGTCGTCCACGAGGAACCACACCCGCAGATGACCGGTATATTGCCTTACAGGCCAGAAGAAAACAGAAGAAGAAACAGGCGGCAGACAGCGGGAGAAAGAGAGAATCGCTAGACACACGGACACAGGCGACTGGACGACTGATATCGCATTTTACCATGGCCAGAAGACTGCACGGTGGTGGTCTGTTTGCACGACGCCCTGTACGGTGTGTACCTCTAACGCCTGCCCATCGGAGAAGGCGTTCTCTGTGGTGCCGGGAACACCGGAATTGGAGAGACAATGAATGGGGACGAGTACTCTTTACAGATGAGAGCAGATTCAGTCTGAGTAGCGATTCTCATCGCATACTCATCTGGAGGAGAGGGGGGAAGCCGCCAATATCCCTCGAACATCATTGAAAGAAAGGACAGGTATGGAGGGGGTGGCGTGTGTTCTGTTTGGGGAGGCATCATGCTTGGTAGTCGTACAGACCTTCACATCTTCGACGCAGGTTCAGTCAACAGGACCCGTTATTGTAACGAGATTCTTTTTTGCCGTTTGCGTCTTTTTAGAGGTTGCTGGGTCTGCGCAGTTCCTTTTCATGGACGACAATGCACCATGTCATCGTTACGGTAGCTGCCGAAGAGCTCTTAGATAGTGAGGATATTGAACGTATGGATTGGCCGGCATGATCTCCGGATCTCAATCCCATCTAGCATGTATGGGATTTTCTAGGCAGACGCTTGGCAGCTCGTACCTTACCACCAGTAACGATTCCGGAGCTTCGATTGGTACTGCAAGACGAATGGGCAGCAATGCCTCAACAACTCATTGACACCCTCATTCTCAGCATGGGCAGACACTGTGAAACCTGCCTAACAGTCAGGGGAGTTCATATCCCCTATTAAAGACCGGATGTTTCTTGCTGGACACCCATCACAGGGATGTTTCGGCCTTCAGTTGCATTGCGTTCCATGCTACTTTTTCAATCAAAGCTTCTTTTTATCCCTCTGATTTCTCTTTAGTAAGTGTTGCTTACATATCATGTCCTAGTATTGGGGATCTTACAGTATTAAATATGTTGATTTGGAAAGCTTTTGTACAAAGTATATTGAAAAAACCGTCTCGTCCTTAATTTTTGCACACCAGTGTATATCAATCACCAAAACATTTCCTCATCCTCAGTTTATATTCAAAATCATAGTATCCTCTGTTTTGAGCAGAGTATATAAATATATTAAAAAAGTATACCAATTTTTTAATTCAATAAATCCTGGTTAAATAATTCCTGAAGTATGTGATCTGTTAAGTTATTTACGTACAAACAATCCAAGTTTAATGTAAAAATAGAAAGGGAAAAATACAAATCAATTTCAGATAGACAAAACCTATAATAATAATAATAATAATAAAATATGCTAATCTGCATATCTCTTGATACTGAGGTTTGCAGATTATTGGAATTCTACTGTATAAATAAGCTGAAATAACTTACTGTCATCCTGTGCAACTTTATCTTCTTCTTCTAAGAAATCCAACTTTTGTCGAATGGGACTTAATTTCAGAGCTGAATCATTAGCTAATCCTTTTAGAACAAGAGGTGTGCATATAGGTGCTTCTAACAGTAATCGTGGATCACATTTGTTCAGAATTTCTGGGCTAATATCTTGTATATGATTTGACTGCGTATGTAATAAAAGAGGACGTGGGCTGTTCAGAAGTCCTTTGCTTTCATTACGAACACATTTCAGGGAATTTGGTATAAGTCTATCAGCATCTCTTACAGAATGTCTTACATGATTTGAATTAATAACGTGACTTGCAGATTTTGAACATGTTGAAAATACATTTTCCTTTTTGGATGACTTAACAAATGGTGTTGATGATGAAGAATACCTGATGGCTTGAGTACAATCACTTGCATTTTTAAGCACAGCAGATTCTAATTTGACTGAAGATGTAAATGTATTTTGATGGAGCAGCTGTGATGTACAAGTTACTTTGTTTGGTTCACTACAGGTAGGCTTTTCAGTAGAAATTGATGGTTTTTCTGTTGATGCTTCAGGTATTATTGGTGTGTTTTCTTCACTTTTCTCACTGATATTTGTTAACCTAGACTAAAAAATAAATTAAAATTTTGCTTTAAATTAATTCAAAATTTAAATACATATATATTTGCTACTTAAAATACAAACTTACCTCAGATATCAGGTTTTCAGGTAAATCTTTCTCATTTTTTAAAGCAGGTGATTCTGCAATTGAAAACATATATACTATAACTGTTAATGCTTAAACCAGCATAAAAACACACAAATGTCACCAAAAGCAGAAAAAAAAAAGGGGGGGGGGAAAATAAAAGGGGGGGATATATATACTGAATGCAAATATATACTGAATGCTGGATACCTGAAAATTTCAGATAACTAAGCATATCAAAAAGTGTAGTTTTAAAAAAGCCAAATGAATGAAGGAAGTAATCCCCAGTCTAAAATTATAACAGTCACATTGTTTGTTATCAAATGCCTACATTTAAAATTAAATAAGATGTTGAAGAAAAAAATGCATTTCAGATATAAAAGCCAATATATTTTTATAGCCCTTTTCATGTAAAACTAAAACATCTTAACCAATTATGAAATCCTATTAACTTATGAAGGCTGCTGGAGATCCTCCAAACATACTGGCAGAAGTTTGAAAGAACAACTGCTTTTTATTTAATAGACAATCTACACACATAAACTATGGATTATCTGCTGTGCATAAAAATACTAATAGCATATACATAACTAGTCAAGTTTGCATAAAACAATGGCAAAAATCTGCGAGTGACTGTGACAATTTATGAAAGACTGTGATGTCATGCTTATCCATTATTGGTGCTAAATCATACTGCCTGGCTACAGTTTTTGTTTGCCAAAAATGATTCAATGAAAAAGACATGTGTGAGGATAGTCCAGTTCCAAAGATAAATTCTTGATATAATATGATGGATAGAATGAAGTGTATGTGGCAATGAAGTGTATATGGGCAGGGAAGGCAAGCAACATTTTCTGAAAGAGCCATTCTATACACGCTTTATGATACTTTTACAAGTATCACATTGGTCTAATTTTCTGTTAAAAAAAATCTAAAATATTCTGGTTAGTTGAATGACTGATAGGCTTTGTTTTTGCTGCATTAATAATTACACTAGCAGTTTAACCAGTTTTTGCAACACTATCTTTCACTTTAGCAAATACACTGAAAAAAAGTCTAATTTTAAGGAAAATGATTTTGTTATTAGTAAACTTTACGTATACATTCCTTGCAACACAGGGGTTCCCTAAGTTTGCGCAGCAGTGCCCTGGAACACCATGAAGCAAGGCCAAGGGTGCAGAGAGACAAGACGCGCTGCCATATCTTTTATTAATTATACATTCATTAATATGTTTCAGCATTTTTTGTTCAATTTCTTGAAATAATAGTTTCTTAAATTTTTCTCAATATTTAAATTTCAATTGTTCATCTAATTCAATTTAAATTATATTTTTAACACATTCATTTCTCCTTTTAATCTAAATTCTTGTTCTCAATTTAATTTCTTAAAGTGCCATTTTATTCTATCCCTTAGTTTTCTTTCAGTTTGCAAATAATTCTTTGTTATGGCATCAGATTTGTATTCAGTTATTTTCATACATTTTTTGCACTTCTTACTTCCTGTCACAAGATTGCTATATTTGTAGTGTCAGCAATGGCATCTGCTAACATTTCTTTTTCCACTTAGACTGTCAGTATCAAATTCATATATATGCAGAAAAGCTTTACAGTCAAAAAAAAAAAAAAAAATAAAAAAAAAAAAAAAAAAAAAAAAAAAAAAAAAAAAAAAAATAAAAAAAAAAAAAAAAAAAAAAAAAAAAAAAACAAAAAAAAAAAAAAAAAAAAAAAAAAAAAAAAAAAAAAAAAAAAAAAAAAAAAAAAAAAAAAAAAAAAAAAAAAAAAAAAAAAAAAAAAAAAAAAAAAAAAAAAAAAAAAAAAAAAAAAAAAAAAAAAAAAAACAAAAAAAAAAAAAAAGTCATGATCTTGACAAAATATTGCAATAAATTGACAAGTCCTTACTGATATTGCACAAAATGAAAAGATTTTTATTAAACAAATAAACTGATAGTAACTACAGTTCGAGTGATAAGACATTGACAACTCGTGGAAGAGAAAAGAAACAAAAATATCACACCTACAAGAAGAGTTATTCTCATTTTGGTTTTACTTCGAAGAAGTAAACAACAAAGAAAGACAATAATGACAGATGTGTTGTCTGCCTACAAAATCTTTGCAGCCGAAACTATGCTCCCAAGTAAGCTAAAGTGACATCTTGTAACCATTCATGCTAACTTGGTCAATAAATCTCATGCTTTTTTTTAGTAAGAAATTTCAAGATTTACAAAAGTAAAGCAGTGTGTTCACCAAACAAGTGTTAGTTCCAAATAACACACAGCTAGAGTCTGCAAACAAAGAAGTAAAAAAAAAAAAAAAAAAAAAAAAAAAAAAAAAAACTGCACGCTATTGCAGAAGAGCTCATTTTTCTGGTTTCTCTTGACATGGCTAATATTATATGGGAAAAGTTGTGGGAAAACTCATTTCTAAGGTACCCCTATCCAACAACATTATTAGTTGAAGAATTCAACTAAGAAGACATATGTGCATGTATAAGGTTAAAAAAAAAAAAAAAAAAAAAAAAAAAAAAAAAAAACTGAAATGTTTCAGATTTTAAATTACGTCCAAAGGGGCGTTTTTTTAACATTTTGTGTGTTACCTTTCTTTATTAAATATCATGTTCCTCGCACTTAAACCATAAGATCCAGTGCAACAGCAATATCGCAAAATAGTTTTAAAACGAGCATATCTTTAGAATTTCCGATACAGAGACTCACGCGCTGGAGATAAAAATGTTTTTCTGCACAACGTTGCCATTGCTCGCTTTCAAATCCTTGAGCTTGTTAATCAAAAATTCGTCAAAGTTTTAAAAAATAGGAAATCGATCATAAAACAAATTTCAAATTTGGTCTTCCACATGCTCATATTCGTTGGAGGATTACGTTATTCAAAATTCGATGACTCTATGTACCGTTGTTTTATCACAATACGAGAAATATACATACATTTACGCAGATTTTCATTATTTAATTTCTTCAAATATAATGCAGGACTCTAACATTTTATGGCAACAGTTTGAAAAGTGAACCGACATTTATCCGTCCGACGCAAAATGCCAAAACGAAAGTAATAGTCCTTCGGGACTCAAGTCCCTTTGGACTAAAAATGTAAATATAAATTGTAATATAAATTAGCAATAACCTCTTAATCCTTAATTTTAATTAGGGTATTTCCTCTCTCTATTCTAAAAATAGTAATAATAACTTTTTCTGAGCTGCATCATTTCAAATTAATCATATCATATGACTTAATAATAATGCTGGCGACGTAAAAGGAAATAAACTCAAACATCCAGTAATAATTTTACAGTATTACTAATTATTCAATCAAATGTACCGAACTGAAAGTAGTATTTTTGAATAAGATTTCATCCCAAACGAAAGGCCTTTTGCTTCTATTTCTGCTGTTGCAATATTGCTCTGTGACAATAATGCTGTTGCATTATTGTCACAGAGTTATTATCCTGCTGGTGTAGGTTTCTGAATCAATCTGTTAGCTTAAATTGAATTGTGTAATTTTGCACTACTCTTTGCCTTTAAATTTAGTGTTACATTACCCTTTAAGTCCTCACTACAAATGGTTGGGTGTTTTTTTAAGCACATTAGTCTATGCTACCTGTTAAATATTTTGTGTTCAATAAAAGGATGTGTTACATGCTTTCCTTGGTTGTATTCATCTTCAAGCCTGTGTGAGAATTCACAAGGATCAATCAATACTTACATAGATCCAGTTATATTTTATGATAGCTATGCATATTAGATCTTACACCATTGATGTAAAAGCAACTACTTTCGTCCCTCTGACAGATCTCATGTCAAATAAACTAGTCTCTTTGAATTTATGGTTCATCTTCTGCAAACTGCTAACAGGCACTGGACCACAGCCACATCTTATACTCATCAATTCCTACAAATTCTTCCAGGGTTAGTAGCCACATTTTAGTTAAAAAATAAGCACCTATAAGCACTTTTCAAGCACATTTTAAGAAAAAAATAAGCACCTGCCTAATTACATTATACACAACTGCATAGCCTTAAAAGAAAAATTAGACTTGTAATTTAAAATATGAGAAATTCTGTATTTATTAAGAGAGAATGAGCATTACTCAACCATGGAAAACAATTAACATTTTCTCAAAATTTTAAATAACAGTTCAATTTACAAAACTAGTTTACAATGAGAGGGAAAAAAACTTTGCAGAACTATTACAAGATATAATGATGAAATTTCAGTTAAAAATAGAGAAAATAAATAATAATATGCCATATTTATTATATTCACTTGGCACCTAAAAATAAATACAGTTTATTTTTCCACTCATATTAATATTTAAATAATTTAACTTAAATCAAAATTCCGAACATTTTCTAAAGTTTCATTGTATAACAGTTTTCTCTTAACAGATATTGCAAGCAAATTAATTTAAGTAGAAATAAGTAAAAAGAGGAACATTTTTCTGAAATCAGAAGACAGGAAACTGTTTCATGCAGTTATCCTGTAACAGTAAAAGCTTAACTAACTGGCATACTCGGAAATTGCCGAATATCTGAAAATTCCGGATAGTCAAGCGTAACTGGAAAAAGAGGAGGGAGGTAGAAGGAGGTAGCCGTTCTTTAGTTTTTTTCAGCTCTTTCAACATTTCGATATGTGCATCATATAAAAATAACCCAATGGAACTAAAGAATAATCTGCTTAGCAAGCACAGTAAAACGCTTTTATCTCTGCAAAATATCCCAAACATTATTGTGCAATACGTGCACCTTAATTCTTCCGCACGTGACATTACACAATCGGAATCAACAGTTACCGGTATTTGGATAATAAATAACTAAATAAAGGAAAAGAAAGAGCCTTACCAATCTGGGGTGTTTTTCATTCTAATTTTGAACAGACTACGTAAAAGTTCCGGAATAGAATTATTCTTTGCTTGGGTTGGTAGACAGCAGAAATTTTAGTCCTATTCAATCCAGATTGGAAAGTGATACACACACACACACACACACAAAAAAAAAGTCCGTTGCTTGCTTTGCTGCAAACTATAACAGTTTCAATATTCAAGATT